AGATAGCCCTCGTGTAGCTTTGCGCGAAATTCAAAACAAACAAAACAGACTTTTAAACTGTCGGTACCATTTCTTGATAGAATTATTAACTAATGGATCGTTGCTATATACTCTATGATATAGTCTTTGCATTGGAATAGGTAATTTCATCTCTTCTAGCCACAGAACGCCTTCTCTGTCGCCATCTTTGTTAATTACATATTTGGCGACCACGCATGTATTATACGTGATTACATTTTAAAAAAACAAACAAAAACTACTACATACATGTGCCCTTAATCCACAATAAACCGTAAGTGGTCACTGTTACTATTGTGTCGTGGTTTAGGTTTTTGATACATCTCATATATTTTGGACACCCTACTTTAATTAGCTTTAATTCGGGTTAGTCGACTTACAATAGAAGTAGTTATTAGATTAGGTTGTACCAAAACTGGTACTTCCAACACAACAAATCACTGCACATTATCTTCATCAAATATATTTTTCAGTTTAAGGCTGCAAAATTTCCCATGACAGTAAACAATTAACCTGTGATGAGGTATTAAAGTGTTAGCGTAACTCGCTAACCTAGATGAACAGAAACGTAGTTGATAACAACACGAATGAAAGTGTTCCGAGTTTGTTGTTTAAAGGAAGGTGGCATTTCACGTGTTTCAGGTTTATTATATTAAGATTTCTTTTCTAGTTAGTGCTATCACACTTCCAGTACATTAACGTTAAACGTAAAACTATTGGTTTAATTTTATGCGACCCAGAGTCCTTCCCTCTCTTCATCGAATTGAATATTCTTCCCGCTTTTGGTGGGAAGTTCCCACAGAAATATTTCAGTCAACACATTTGAAGAACGAATTTCTAATATTACTATTCAATTTCAGCACGCGATGAATAGATCGTAGTTTGTTCTACAAAGTGCCATAAAACTCTGGCCCATGGAGTTTTATAAAGAGACTTTCCAAGTGTCTTGCTCAAAGTGGCCTCTGTGGATTTTCATATATTTATTAGGCCATATTTTCGAGACACCCAGTAGTTCAAAATTTTAGATGATACAAAAATCACTTAAACATGTAGGACGAAGTGAAGTCCACTTAAAGATGATAAATAAAATAATTGTTTCTTGTGTTGTAGTGTGTCACTTGTTTATTTGTTTTAGAATTATAACAGTTAGGCATTTGTTTGACGCACTTTTAGTTTGTAAGCGCCACGAAGACTTGAACTGATGAATCCTTAGTGCGAGTTACCATCTCTTTAAACTACGAATATAGTAATTCTGCTGAGTCAGAGGTCACACGAGCTTATTCTAGTGAGATTACTACTACTACTATTTTATCCCTGGTTTCATATTTATATTGCTGGCATAAAAACCATTTCCTTTATCTCACTCTCACTATATACAGTAGTCATAATATTTAATTATTATCAAGGTAAAGGTAAAAAAGCTTCCCAATGGCACAGCGGTATGTCTGCAGATTACAGCGCTAGGAACCGGGTTTCGATACCCATTGTGGGCAGAACACAAATAGCCTATTGTGTTGCTTTGTGCTTAATTACAAATAAAGGTGAAAAGAAAATCGATAAGACTTTTTTTTACAAAATTCTGGTCGTGAATAGTAAATTTTCCAAATGTAGATTTTGTCTGTGTAATGAATTTAATGCACATATTTTTTACTGTTAGTTAAGCCAAATTCTTGAAATATTTTTAATCGATCAATTATAAATGTAGTGTTTTCAAATTGCTTACGGCCCGGCATGGCCAGATGGTTAGGGCGCTCGACTCGCACTCTGCGGGCCGCGGGTTCGAATTCCTGTCACACCAGACATGCTCGCCCTTTCAGCCATGGGGGCGTTATAATGTGCCGGTAAATCCCACTATTCGTTGGTAAAAGAGTAGCCCAAGAGTTGGCGGTGGGTGGTGATGACTAGCTGTCTTCCCTGTAGTCTTACACTGCTAAATTAGGGGCGGTTAGCGCAGATAGCGCTCGTGTAGCTTTGCGCGAAATTCAAAACAAACGAACCCCTCGCCCCCCAGTGGCACAGCGGTATGTCTGCAGACTTACAACGCTAGAATCCGGGTTTCGATACCCGTGGTGGGAAGAGCACAGATAACCCACGGTGTAGCTTTGTGCTTAATTACAAACAAGCAAACTTGAACCCCTCAAAAGAAAAAGAAAAAAAAAAGATTCAAATACATCTTAAGAATTAGCGAATGTTTGCGCATGGGGTGGATTTACGCGAGCCACAAAAGAAGGGTTAGAACTATTTTCAAACATTTTCTGCCAAGACCGTGAAAATTCTACTCTAGAACCTGACACCTTTAACTGCTAGGTTAAGCCTCTCTCATGATTAAATAACAAGAAACCATCAATCCATGAAACTATCGCAAATTGTAAATCTTGGACACAATTATCTTTCTTCGGTATGCGAATTCTCCTCGTTCTAGTAAAAAAACTTCTAATTGATTATAAAACTACTGTTCAAACTACCAATAAATCCCTAACTAAAGCTACTATTCCCTCCATTCATGAAGTCCTTCGTATCCAACAAAACTTGTGTATTATAATTCTGCTGCAGTAGAATGAGAAAAGTTTGGAAAAATATATATTTAAGCTTATTAATTAAATATGCGCCGAGCATAGCGCATTGGTTAATGTGCCGAATTGTGGAGCTGCCGGTTTATTGTGGAGCTGTCCCATTACCACAAACAACAACAACAAAATTTGGGGGCCGTGGGCGCGTTATAAAGGTAACGGCCATATCACACTATTCGTTGAGACAATAGTTGGTATTGGGTGATTTTGACTAGCTGCTTTCCCTCTAGTCTACTCTTTCAAAGTTAGGAGCGACTGTTGCAGATAGACCTTGAATTTGGGCGAATATCCGAATAACAACAACAAATAGTCCATTGAATATATCTGGACTAAAATAAATTTCGGGGGGGGGGGGTTGAGCATGAACGTGTTTTACCTGTGCGGGACGATCCCATTCTCCTGCCGTGTATACGAGGAAATACATTGGATCTATCACCAGAAAATCAACGTAAAAACTGTAACTAATCATTTCTGTAGATTGTTTGTTTTAGTGCAAAGAAACATTGGGCTATCTACTATGTCCACTGTGGGGAATCGAACCCCGAATCTTAGTATTGTAAGTGCGTAAATTTACTGCTGTCCCACCGGGAGGACATTTCTGTACATATTATGTTGTAATAATAGTACTTGACCATTATAATAAGGTCATAGGTTCGGGTGATGATGAGAGTCAACTGGGGAACTAGGAAAATTTACTCATTAGACGTCTGGAGCATGTTCATCTAGAAAGTTCGATGTTTCCATCATAAATCAAGGAAACTGACTCATTTTATAAATAAAATGAAGATTTTTTTCTTGAGAAATAAAATAATTTTTATCTCTATTTGAATCAGTATGTATTTTTATCAAATCTTAATTCCCCAACGGCAGATTTTTATCTCTATTTTAATCAGTATGTATTTTTATCAAATCTTAATTCCCCAACAGCAGATTTTTATCTCTATTTTAATCAGTATGTATTTTTATCAAATCTTAATTCCCCAACAGCAGATTTTTATCTCTATTTTAATCAGTATGTATTTTTATCAAATCTTAATTCCCCAACAGCAGATTTTTATCTCTATTTGAATCAGTATGTATTTTTATCAAATCTTAATTCTCCAACA